ATTATATTAAATATATGTTAAATTAATATAATATATATATATATTATTATATTAATTTAACATATATTTATTAATATATATATTCTATAATATATTTAAATAAATATATTATAATTTTTACATATCGTAGCCAGAACGCACTTCCCAGCCTACTATGCAAGGCCCGATTTGCCTAATAAGGCAAGTTTTCCTGAATTAATATATTTACTAAAAATACTTTTCCTCATGAAATGATAAAGCTACCCATTTCACTATGTATGAGGTCAATTTTCTTTTCTTGCAGTTAAAATTAACGTAGATATATAACCTATATATAGGTAAGGTAGCCAGAAAAAACGTCTACCTTACCTATATATGTTAGGTCATATATCTACGTTCATTTTAACTCCAATAAAAGAAAATTGACCTCATACATAGTGAAATGGGTAGCTTTATCATTTCATGAGGAAAAGTATTTTTAGTAAATATATTAATTCAGGAAAACTTGCCTTATTAGGCAAATCGGGCCTTGCATAGTAGGCTGAGAAGTGAGTTCCAGGTACAACATATATATATTTTCTGGTTTGGGCTTGTATCCCTCTAACTATTTTCTTAGCATCAGGGCTTAATTGGAATAGGAGTTCTCCAAAACTCATTTTCGTACTTTTAAGGTGAAGAAAAAGAAGACACTCTTAGATAGTAAGAGTGTCTTCTTTTTCTTCACCTTAAAAGTACGAAAATGAGTTTTGGAGAACTCCTATTCCAATTAAGCCCTGATGCTAAGAAAATAGTTAGAGGGATACAAGCCCAAACCAGAAAATAATAAATACACATTATTCAATGAAACATGTTTGAAAGAAAACCTGCTGCCAGTATACACTAATAAATATTATATATATATAAATCTATAATATCTAATTATATTTATTGAATATGTCGTACCCACAACGCACTTCTACGCCAAGTATTCATGCATTAATCATTTCTCGACTACCTAACCAACCCTATGTTAAAATTGACCTCATACGTAATGAAATGGTTACTTTTATCATTTGATAACATAAAATATATTAATTCAGGAAAACTTGGCTTACTAGGCCGAGAAGTGCATTCTAGGTACAACGTATATAAATATTTATATATAACAACAACACTCCTGCGTGATAGTAGTGATATGATTGTAATATATCGCCTTACTATCACTCAGGACTTTTGTGATATATATAATACGACAATGTCCGGGGGGGGAACATGAATTTCCTATATTAATACATGTTGCCAAGGAGTGGAATTACACACATAAATAGGCAGGAGATAATGGTAACGTACTGCACCATTCTCTCCTCCCTATTTATACCTGTAATTCCACTCCTTCGCAACATGTATTAATATACGAAATTCGTGTCTCTCTTCCCGTGGCCTGACATTGCATACAAGTCGAGCTTGTCATAATAGTTTACTATAAAACTATTGCCAAGGTAAACATCGACCTAACCTACTGAGTATGTTAAGATAACCATTTTTTTTTACAGCCTAACATACTCACTAGGTTGTTTCTAAACGGGAAACCTATGTCAACCTCGACGTATTGGCTTGACGTTTCAGCGTCAACAAAGTACCACCCATTGCAGGAAATGTTTACATTCCCTCCAATACACCTCCTGTATTTTGATGGTTAAAAGATATGTATCTTTTATACATAAAACGGCTACGACAGAAACTATATTGCAGGGAATGTAAACATTCACACCCATTTATATAGCTTACGTACCCAACAAACCATTTCTTGGTTTAGAAACGTAGTGGTCAGCATGGCGTACTATGTTATATTCATGCCATACATTATTTACCATCTTCTCACAGTCTGTATTCAACACCGTGTTACTAAATAAAATTGGGTTACGAAAATACAATGCCATACTCATTGTGCAGGATCCTTGCAACAACAGTTGCCTTCTTCTTGGCACAAACAATTTAACTGTCATAGGCACAATCTACAAATGACTACGCACATATATCCTACAACAATTGACAGTGTCTCACTTACACACTCTATTGGAGGGCCACCTAAGTATTCCCTGTAATACAGCTGAGGTGATTTGTACGAAACGGACTAATTACGTACCCCCACCAATACACTTTGTGTGGTTTATATTTAATACAATAACTACCAGACCGGTATGCATATCTTCAAACATGTTTAACTTTTATTCACAAATCAATTCCTTCTACTATGTATCATATACTACATGTCTATGCTGAAGGCAACATTTTCCCCGTCATCTACAAGGTAAACACCAACCAAACAGCGCTCCACCTACACTCCTATAATAACAATCTTTACATAGACGCTTGTGAATTTTGTTTTCTTTTCTGGCGACGATTTCCAACGTCACAAGGTGGAGGGGGGGGTGTGGTGGTAGTCCCCTCCAGCAGTAAGAAGTCTATGCACCAACCACACTCTTCATGTACAGGACAACTGCCTCATAACACATCATTTCTTCTATTCGCCCATCACACACTGAAAATACAAACAATTGCAATCAGAACATTAACTTAACAAATCAATTGCTGGTTTCAATCTTAAGTCACACACATATTCACGATACTTTGGGTCATTATAAATACTTCATATTTTAATGCCTTATCAGAACAACGCACGTCCAAAATAATCACAAGGCCCTAAATATCGCCACTATCAAATGTCCTATTGAGGGTCACAATACAACGCGCGACGATAACAGTGGCCAGTATGGCCACCATCGCCACTTACGACTACACACTTTGTTGCCAACAATGAACAAATACCTTTACGCCACATTGCCTCTCTAGCAGCATCCACACCTACATGGCTGGGAACTCAAGAGATTACTATTTATTCGAGAACATAAAATGTTCGAGCATTGACAATACCACAAAGTTCTGCTCTGAAGATGGCAGCCGACATATCTATGAGTGTCAAGAAAAAACCGTACCACGATTAATACCTTTAGTGATGTACAAAACATCCCAACCACACCCTCCATGCAGGGGGGGGGGGGGGAGGTGCTGAAGAGAAACAACAACTTCAAGAACATTAGTGATCACGCCACTGTCAACATATAACGTGGGAGTCAAACGAAACGCGCACGACAACTGTAATCTACTTTACACACGACCATACGCCTATCCACTCCCCCAAGAACTATGGGAGGAAAAGGACATTCACTGCGGAGGTAAGAGATGTGCGCTGTCAATGATTAACCCCACCAGATTCCTTCGACACAACGGAATGATCAGTGTCCCAACATGGGAGGACAAAAAGTAGTGCTCACAACACTACCTGCGGGCAGAGACAGTGTTATCAAGCAACGATCAGACAAACAAACTTTGGAGGGACATTCCACCCAAAACCATGAAGTTGAAACACAATATCATACTCTCGTCGGCCTTTTGCAGTTCAAACAGGACGGCAACGACCAAATTCTTCGCAGTACAAATATAAACCTCAAGCACTTACGGAAACGACGTGATACTGCTCTGATAACCATACCCTCAAAAAGCTTGCAGACATAACTCGTGGGGGATGACGTGACACACCCCCCCCTTTACGCACACGAACGACAACAGCATCGAGCCACGACTCATAATGAATGCCACCACAGACCGAAGCTCACAGAAGGCATCGTTATGGCCACAGAAATTCAAGAAGAGGCTTGGAACCAATGGGGAGACATCACAACTGGGAACTCAATTCAGTCACAACCGGGGAGACATTGCGAACGAACTTACCCACTATCTTCTGCATATGCTTCCACAGCAGTTTCTGACGTGATGGTGGAGACATAAGACATGGCCCTACATGCCTTCCCAAACAAACAAAACACATTCAGGTGTCTACCGGCGACAATGTCTCTTCCTGCATGCTTACATTCCACGAGCAATACAGCAGTGTTATAAACAACGAGACGCAGAATGGAAATGTCACAGATACTAACACGATGGGAAACTGCTCACTGCCATCGACCACCAACCACTCAAAATCTAACTAAAGGGAAGACGAGCAAACATCAACACACGAAACGGAGCGACTTCGGGTCGAAATCAGTGGGGCTCACCAAATTTCATAACAGAGGATGAACGGTTCAAGAAGGCAACCTTGGGTGTTTATCATAACATCACCCCCCCCCAAAGGGTATGTCGACAATTGAAATCACCTACCAGGAGTCCAGGAAGAGAAACCGGGATACTCGGGGAAGATAAATGGAACAAACAATGGATAGGTAAGGGAACGTGACAGCTGGGGGGGGGCCAAGACACCTCCATAGCAGCAGCAGGGGATGTAGGGGGCGAGGAAGAAACCAAACCCTTCTTACCCGCCGGGGAGGAGGAAGCAAAGAAGCCAGGCTCACACTTCTGACTCAAAGATACAGCCGTCCCACCAACAATGTACTCTGCAACACAATCTAGTGTCTCAAAAGGACAAACAACGGCCATTAGCCCAGCTGAGAGCCATCATGGCGTCTGGTGGAGGTTCGCGCAGTGTCTCTCCTGCAAATATCGACGATACCTTTGAGGACACTGGGGAACCACTGTTGCATGCCACACATTTAGATCATGAACATCACCCGGTCTTACAAGAGGATCTAGATCGAGTTTTCCTAGACGGCAAACAGATTGGAGGCGAAACGCCCACAACTTACAGAGACCATACCGGCACCACGCGGCCTCACTATCAACCTCCAAGGTACACTAAATTCTTCTGATTTGCAAACTTTATTCATTCCCTTTGATGGCGAACAGCAAAATGTGTTCAGAAATAGCCGAGCACAACGTATCTCATATAAATATATTCGCGATCGATGTCCACAATATGAGACAGAAAAACCTCATCGCAGTGGACCGCAAACAACTAAAACTTTCAGACATTACTGACATCTGTGGCTATAAACCACTAGGGGACCGATTAACAACATATGTAATCCGACATGTGGTAGACTACATCAAAGCACAACTTGACACACATGACATCCCGATCCATGGAATCAAAACATTTATGCGGACAACTGACTGACACAGCCACTGCTCTGCTTACCTTTCTAGACTACATACCCCTGACAGGATTTGCTTAAATGCCTTCCTCCATAAACTAGAGGTGTATATACCACGTCCCACTCAATGTTTTAACCATACCTGGAAAGGCTGCACCAAAGACATTAAATGTTGGAAATGCTCTCGTTCCCATTACACGCAAGATTGTACATCAGATACACTTACCTCCTCAAACTGTGGTGGCGACCACGACATTACATGCAAACAATGTCCATCATACATAGCAGCAGCAAAAACTATGGTTCTCCCTAACAACAACCTGCTATACAGTAGTGCACTGAAACAACCTAACACAGCCTTTGCTTGTACCTGATATATCTGTCACCGACACTACCACAACCATCTCTCACAAAATGCACAACTGAATCCGGATCTTGTTGAAACTTTGGTCACACGCATTGAAAAGACGCTGGAGCGACTGCTAACTAAATTCTTTACACAACCCACCCCTGAGGCTGACCCAAAAGACATCCCAAACAAAGCCACCATTGCTGGACACACATTGTTTCAACAGATGATAGAATAACTCCCTAGCACGCCTTACCAAAAGAATTCCACAGGCTGACTTGCCACAAACCCAAACCGCCAGTACCAACAGTAACACACAGACCGCATCCACATCTAGGTATCCAACACGTACTACTACTGGCATGCCAAGGAAAACAGACACATCCTAAATGGCTCCCCTAACATTCATGACTTGGAACACAAAAAGCATTAAAGCATCTCTCACAGAACTTAAACAATTCCTTTACTCATCCGAACCGGACTTAGCTTTCATAACCGAATCCTTCCTCACCCCTAAACAAAATCCTATTTTTAAACACTTTCAGATGCAGAGACTGGACAGACCAAACCGTATGGGTGCTGGTATTTTCCTCATAAGCACAGACCTTGTGGTGTTCAGATTATGGAGAATGTTCTTGTGATACCCTGCCTACAGTTTCTAGAAACAAGGATATTTAATCATTCATCAAAAATTTCGGACGTCAAAAATACACTTTTACTTACTATTATTGAAATCTGTGAATATTTTTTCCATAGCTGGTATGTAAGGCAACTTTATAATCCATTTTCTTCATTACATTTGTTTTGCTACCATTGTAAAATACATTCTTAGCATTTTGTCAGTGTACCAGTTTGATAAGCATGTTTGATGAAACAATTGGTAAGATGGTTGACTTCATTATCCAAAAACTCAGGGACACAAGCAAAGACCTAAAAGGCCAACAATTACTTTTTTTGTTCTCAACTAAATCACTGTAATGAAGAATAATGTATTGCTCAGTGTGCATGTTTTAATGATAAACAGTGGTACCAATACCCCCATAGTTTTTCATAACCATACTGTCCAAAAAGGGTTTTTTGTAATTATATATGACAGGCAAATTAAATGATTAAGAACACACTGATGGAACTCTCATCATCAGCATCACCTACCACAAAAGTATCAACACCATATCTTTCCCCAAAAATATATTTTTAGGCAAATTAAGTTAATGTTGGGTAAGACACGCATCTCAAAATGCCATGTAAAGGTTGGCCAAAATAGAGGAAAGAGAAGAGCCCATTGCTACTCCATATGCTTCAGACAAATACTGTTAAATTTAAAAAAAGTGTATGATGATTAATTCACAGACTGTACCTATGGGGAGGGGGGAACTCAAATACATCTTTGTATTTTGCCCAAATAAATTCTGGAACATTATCAATAATGATATTTGTGAACAAGTACAGTAACTTAAAAATTACCCATACGTATTGCCTTTGTAGATATTACTGAATTTTAAGTGATTAATGAAATCAGAAGTTTGATTCCATTAATCAAATGAGAATAAATTTAATTTCTGTATTAAAAATGATTACTACAATCTTAAATATATACAGTATATGAAAATATTTCTCTAACACTCTCTACTCTCCTTTATATGTATGGACTGTCTAAGATTCTCACAAACGGTTGTCTCATGTATTCATTCTCCCCCAAAAAAGTCTTCCAACCTGGTTAGCCAAAACTCTTGGACAACATGGTATTGTTTCTGATTCTTATTTGTTTCACTTCTAATTTCATTAATTACTTAAAATCCAGTAACATATACTAAGCCAATATACTGTAGTTAGTTTTGAAGTTACTTATTTATTTACAAATATCCATATAAGGTTCCGGAATTTATTCGAGCAAAAATACAAAGAATTATTAAAAGGCGTCAAGCTGGGGAGACTATGTAGCAACATGAAAGGTGCAGGATATTAAACAAATGCTAAATATCACTAAGGATGCCAATACAAGAACAAAAGTGCACAAGGCAAATGATATCAAAGGTGTCTTGAGTCAACAAGGATTCTATCAAGGGACACTCGGGAAAGCAAGACACGCATGTCCTGAAAGTTAAGGACATTCAACAAAGATATGCACTACCGTAAGATTGA